CGGGAGCGGCGCGGGGGGAGCGAGGCCGGGCCGCGCCGGGCGCGTCCCCGCGGGGCCCGTGACGGTGACAGCGCGGCCGGGCCGCGGCGGGGCTGCGCGGCCGCACCACCAGCAGGAGCAGCAGCAGGAGGAGGCCGCCGGCGGCGGCGGCGGCGGGGGGGAGGCCGGATCGCATCATGGCCTCGGGTGGCAGCGGCGGCGGCGGCGGCAAGATCCGGATCCGGCGGCACCACCTGGGAGCCGGGAAGCCACCCTACACGAGGGGCAAGCAGCAGGTGAGGCCGCGGGTCAGCCCGGTTGAACCCCTTCCCCTGCACCCGCTCCTCTCCCCCAGCGCTCCCTCAGCGGCGGGAGGAGGCGCCCGGGAGGCCCGGCCCGGCCCGGCGGAGCCGCCTCTTCCCTGCGCCACCCTCTGCCCTCCGCACAGCCCCACGTGCGCGGCTGCGGGCCGGCATTTCCCGGTGGAGTGGCCCCCGGGGAGGGAGGAGGGAAGGGTTTCCCGCCGGGGCCGCGGGGATTGTGGGATTTCCGGGCGCTCGCCCCGCTCCGGCCCCGCCGGCCCGCGAGGGGCTCCTCACCTCCCCTTTGTCTCCCGCCTGTCCCCGCTCGGCAGGAGCAAAGGCGGGAGGAGGAGGTGGCGGCTGGGAAAGGGGTAGGTACGCATTCCCTCGGCTGGCGAATGGAGCGGGCTGGCTCCCGCTCTGCGGGATGCTCGTTTTGTCTCCGGGCTACCTGGTTAAATCCTGGTTAAATTGGTTTAGATTGCGTTACCACGTGTAGTTCCTCCTCAGGTTTGAGTGCGTCGCTTCCAGTATGCGCTTTCTTGGCGACTTCCATATTGTGGGTTAGTTTGTGAGGGTGCTGAGTAGGTAGGCATCTTCCATTGTTTTCTCTTTTTCTTTGTAGGATTCTGCCTGCAGAACCCTTAGGTCTGCATTTGGTCGTTTTTTCAGTGTCTTGCCTGTGCTTAAACGTGCAGTGCAACTGAAATGTAGCTCTTAATCATAAGGCATTTTTTCCTCCTTTGTATTGTAGGACAGAGTTAGATGGATTTAAAAACCCCTACTTTTTGTAAATTGTGATACAAAGGTCCTGCACCATCTAGAGTGACTGCAGGGGGAAGAAGCAAAGATCCTTCCCATCTGCTGTTTGCCAAGAAATTTCAAGATGCCCAGAAACTGTGCTCTGGAAATACCTTCCATGTGTATTTATGAACCTGAAATTGACTGTTCAGCTAAAACGTTTACATTATTAAATCGGAAATATAAGCTAGGGGACTGAATATTATATGCAAAATTGAGGGGGTGTTACACATGAGTTGTTACTCAGTTAGTCTTTATTCTTTGGGAAGTACTATACTTAGTCTTTTATATAGTAAACTGCTCAGCAATGTCCTTGTAAAACTGTCAAGAGGATGCTTCATCCAAAGAGTCACTGCGCTTACAGAACAAATGTTGAAAGTTCTTATGTGAATGATATAAGGATAACATTTAAATTGTGATATCTTATATGTGTTGATACTATGTAAATAGCTGGTAAACCTTACACATGAATTTAAAATAATTAATGTAGATGGTTTCCTGACTCTTCTATTGTTTGTTGTCTCTATGTGTTTTCCAGTGGGTTTATTTAAACAATGTGCCAAAGCAAACATGTGCTTGGGGATATCTGTGGGATTCTGCCCAGAGAATGGGTACTGCAAATCGAATACACAGACCAAATTAACAAGTAATATGTTGGGGGAAATATGGTAAATACGAAAACCAGTAGGTGTCAGATATGTACATTTGTTACAACGGGTAGCTTTTTTAACCCTGTGCAGGTTGCTAACTTGCATTACTTAAAAAGACGAACTCTAGGTAGGTAAGTGACTTAAACTGAAATTAACTGAAGTGTTCCTGTTTTCCATATCACATCTACTCTGCAGAAGTATTCCACGATTTGGTGTTGTCTCTCATTACTGAGTTTGGGAAGACGTGAAAGTGCTCAGTGCAGTTCTGATATGAGGTTATACCCCTGATTCTGAACTCCTGCTCCCCTAATTATTGTCTATAAAGTAAGTTGGTAGAAATACTTTATTAGAGCTTTTCTAGGTGCTTGCGATCAAGACTGCAGTCCTGAAAACTCTCTCATGAAGCTCTGAAGGTGCCTAAGCACTGTACACAGTATAGCTAATAGCTTTAAAGTTCCTAGAGTATCTAATTTTTTTTCCACTTGAATGAGAGGTGAGTAGCACAATACCAGGCTTACAATTGTAAGCCTGGTGTCATGTTTTTTTGACGTCTTGTTATGCTTTCTCGAAGTTGTTATTTTGCCATAGTCTCCCGGAAAGCTCAGTCAGGTGAGAGTTCTCCAATCATGTCCAACATGTGCTGCAGAGTCAGTCTTCTATTAAGTGCAGTGATGGCTTTGGAAGACAATTGGAAGAGGAGATGCTGCTGCTTTTCAGAGATGCTTAGCTAAAGCATTTGTTCAGAATGTGGTAGACCCTGCTTCAGATTCCTTTTTTGCCTGGAGGCATCAACCCACATCTTCCACTTTCTGGGCAAATATCCCAGTCGTCAAGCTGTGTGTTGTCTTCAGTTCTTCTGACTGAAACTGTGTTATTATCCAGAAAAAGAATTTGTGATTCACTGAGCCAGGAAGAGGAGGTATAAGAAGATGTTGCCTTCCAAGACTAGAGACATACAGGATCCGATCCTTTATTTCAGAGGTTATTTTATATGTTCGTGGAATAAA